TAACCAACTTACTAATGTTTCCTGCTAATAACTTTTCAGATTTGAGGATTTGATTCGTTACTTTATCATACGTGATAATAAACTTGGTATTTTGATGTCATCATTAACATTATTTTCTTGTACTTTGCAGACAAAGCTGTAAATTTAAGCTGAAACCCTAGAACATATAACTTATTTACATATGTAGCTCAACTTGTACATAACTTGTGAAAGTCCTGCACACTCCTCACATAAGTAATCAAATTATTTCTGTGTTATTTCAGTTGCTGGTAGTTGGAGGCTCCTTTGGCCTGCGAGAGTTTACACAACTCCGATATGATTCCCAGAAGATCAAGAGAAGGGTTTGTAGTAAATTAATTGAATGTTACATATCAGAAGGGTTCACGTCCAAACAATGAGACAGTAAATAAAGTTCACACACTCACTCCCTCACAGAAAACAGGACTGCATGGCAAAAGTCTCTGCAGAGAACTGTGTATTCGGTGTGTAAATACTCCACCTTGTGGTTAGAATTGTAATTGTACCTGTGAGTGAAGTGTGAAAACAGTTCCCATGTAATGATGGGCAGCTGTAGTCTGACAGTTCTGTGCTGTAGATTTGTGTTTATTTATAATTATCTGTTTAATTAACTTAAAGTGAGTCACTAGATGGTTGTCAGTTTCAGAAATACCCTACAGACACACACCACTGAGAGGCTGCTCTAACCCGCTCAGGGTGAGTCAGTACAAGAGCCAGAAGTGAGAACAAGCTCGAATAATTCATTGAGTGACAGACCCAATTCATTAAAATGACAGAGGACCGACCCTTTATTAGAAGCCATTACGATCTGATGAGCTAGCTGCGAGGGCAAGTGGCTGTTTTGTGCTACTTTACTGTGACGGATGCAGATGCATGTCGTCTGGGTGGGAGCCAGATGGCAGCGTCATCTTTTCTTATTACTGTCCATGTGCAGCAGCACTGCTCTGTGGAGGAGGAGGAGGAGGAGGTGGGTGGAGGGCGTCGTGCCCCCAGCACCATGTTTCTGTAGCTGCCCCCACACTGCTCACTCTGTCCTGACGGGCCCGCGGCAGCATGAGTCCCTCTCTGTCAGACCCTGTCGAGTAGAGATTTAACTCTGCCGTGTGTGTGTACGTGCAATTTGAATATCTGAACAGTTGTAAATATGCATGATTAAATCCACTCTTCCGGTTCTTACTTTGGCCTGTTATCAGCCAGTTCCCTGATATTTAAATCATTAAAGCCACTGTCTGAGAGTAAGTCACTGTGTGATCCAATTAGCATTTTCTCTTCAATGATTTAATTTAGCTTGCAGGCAAATTCGTCCTTCAAGGCTTTTCTCTCTTCCCTTTCCAGGTTCTGTGTGAATGTTTTTCACCTCGGAACACTCCCACCCTGTTTTTGGGTTCAAGCTCCTGCCATTGTAGCGTTAACACCTCCATAGTAGGTGTCATGCTACTTAATTGGGCATTAACTCCCTGGTCTGAAGGAAGAAAAATACTCCATATATATTATTTATTTGCAGGAGTAATGAAGGTCTAATTAAAAATCAGTCATGGAGTTGGGAACTGCAGCATTATTGCTGTGAAATATTACAAATCATTAAAAGTAATGGTTCAGAATGAGATTCATTTCTATGCTATTCTCAGGCAAAATTCCAGATTTCTGCACTGGACTCGACTCTCTCTCCCAAAGACACTGACACATTTCCTTTTTACCGAATCTGGTGATGTTTATACAGTTTCTAAAAATAATTACTGGAGTGAAAACAAAAAAGTGGATCCTTCCTGTCGGTTTGAAGAAGCCTTCACGATTAATGGGAGCAAAATATACAAAATGAACATCATGAAGTTTTGACTTCAGACTTGAAACTAGAGATTTAGACCAAAACTCTTATGAAAATGTTTTGTAACGTTATAAATCAAGTGAGAAGACTTTTATGTGGGTGACTTATTTTAAAACCTGCTGGTCATAAAAGAGAATCCAGGTTCTAGGCACTAAAACATTGGCTTCACTTTCTGACAAATGTATGAAAGAAAACATATTCACCCCCCGTGCAGATATCGTTGTTTATATATCAAAGTGTGTAGTCTCCCCGAAGGGCTTCTCCCCACTTGAGTTCATCGTCTTTGTTTTAATTTTCTTTTTGTTGTGAGTCTCCACATGCTTTTAAAACTTTCTTCTCTGTTCTCTTGCAGTTGGATCCTTCACTGGAGGCTAAAGTCAACGTGCAGAAGCAGCCGGTGATGCTGGAGGAGGAGTACAAGGTAAAGGGAGTCAGGTTGAGACAGAACGGATTTACCCGCTAATTAAGATGTAAAAGAGGTATCGGTTTTTAAACTGGAAGTTAACATATGTGGAGGTATATTTATCTTAGCGAACACTGGAGTCACCCTCTGCTGGTCATTGGAGATAACACAGGTTTCAGGCACTTTCCCATTGGCTTCTCTTTCTAGACCCGGAGTCTAAACCTATTTTTATCTACAGACTATTACTGAGAATTTTAGCCACATCCCTTGATCCTCCTCAGGATTTATCACATGATCAAAGTACGAAGCATTTGTCACATAGGGAGGCGGTAGAGCAGTCCATAGCGACTTGGCTTGGGAACCGGAGGTTAGCCGGTTCAAGTTGCAGAGGTGCTAGTTCACCTCCTGGGAACTGCCGAGGTGCCTTTGAGCAAGGCACCGAACCCCCCAATTGCTCCCTGGGCGCCTTCATGGCTGCCCACTGTTCCGTGTGTGGTCACTGTGTGGATTGTGTTCCGTGTGTGCTCCGTTCACACGGATGGGTGAAATACAGAGGTCAAATTTCCCCATGTTTGCATGTTGCATTCTGTGTGTGGGACCACAAACAGGAATCTTAATCTTAATCTTAAATAATATCAGCTGCTTGTATTTGTCATGTGCAGAATCTGAAGTTTGATTACATTCTGTAAAAGGCGGAGTGAAATTCAACCGTCCAATAATCAGATGTGAAGAAACACTGGCAGTTTAATTCTTGCCTCTCTCAACAAACCAGATGGTCAGAATTTTCTACATCGGGCCGTTTCAAACCACATCAAGTGAATGTAGAGGAATCCTGAGTTGACTCTGACGTAACGTCTTTTGTTATTTGCACTCGTGAAAAATCCTGTAGTGTTTTCAGACACTGTTTAATCTTTGTAGTTTTTTTGGCATCCTGAAGTTAAAACCTGCTCTCCTGCTGTTTCCCCTCCGCAGAGGATAAAGGAGAAGAATTTGGACGAGTGGAGGAACATCCGTGGTCCTCGTCCCTGGGAGGACTCGAGGGACTATCAGGAGCAGCAGCGAAACCAGCAGAACAAAAAAAACTGAGGCTCAGGGACGCCAGGCAGAGCAGACTGTTCACACAAAACACACGCTACAGCTGGACGGACCAGACAAGAATGGACAGCGTCTGTGGCGAAGATGCCGCAGAGACCCAATTATCCCGGATGCCACAACTTCAGGGCACAGGCTCAACTTGTTTGTTCTTTGTTTGTGTTGGACTTCAAGCTTTTGACATGTACATTGTTGTGGTCTCCTCTGGTTGTTCTGGGCTACTTGTGGTTAAATCTACACCACATGAGCTTAAACCCTTGAAATAAGTTCAAGGAGGCTTTAAATTTACAGAAATATGCACTGAGTCGTGAAATTTAAAGCTTTAAAACATCAGCTTCTGGGTGAGTTGAATGTTTCAGTGACTGTGAATGTGGAGAATGTTTCCTCTTTCACTCGTCACCTTGAACATCTGTTTCTGCTCTGTGTAACTTCTCCTGTGAGACGTGTGGAGCTGACCGATCGTCGCAGTTTTAATTTCGCTGAACTGTGTATCAGTTAAAAAGACTTGGAAGTCGTTAAAAAAACAGAGTTTATCTCCAATATTCAGCAGGAAACTTTAAAAATATGAAGAATTCTAATGAGAGTTTCGTTGATTTGTTTCAGCGGCGGCACTTCTGGGGCTGGGAATCATGGGTAATATCCAGCATTGCTTTAATACACAAAAGTCACCTGTTGATTGGAGTCTGATGAGGAGTTTGTAATAAAAACAACCAGTAGGTGGCACATCTGAGCCTGTCACACAGTTTAAAGGACTTTACATCTGAATGTCTATATACAGGTTTCTATCTGTTTGATTTCCTTCTCTCAATAAATTATTGCTATTGATCCAAAATTGTGACTTTAACTTTTGTGTTATTTCTGTGAAAAGCTTGTTGATGTGTTGAGTCTTTGTTGTGTGTCTCATTGATTCACCAGTTCAAAGTATAAAAGAGTAAATAGCAACAGTCCGACTTCCTCGGGTCTCCACGGTGATGTGTTTTCTGACAGTTATTACTTTGCAAAGCTACGGTTTTATTACGTTAACAATGGAAGTATCACATTACTATTTCCTTCCTGCTTTTTCCCCCTTGAAACAAAAGGTTGTCGTTGTCGCTGCGATGTCTTCATCAGTATGTATAAGCTCTGTTTATGTGAGTGACACATAACGTATGTACAGCTCCACCTCGCTCAGCTCGTGAAACAGGGATATAATAAATACCCTTAAGATGCTGAATGGCCACGTCTTGGGATTTATTTTCCATAAAATGTATTTTTACTCACCTTAATACTCGCACATATTTATGGAAGAAATAACAGCAGCTCATATTTGAGGATTACATTTTTTTTTGCATGTGCAGTTTTATCAAATCTTGAGGTCTCCTCCGTCATTGGTTGTTTTGGTGTCAGAGAGCGGAGCTGCCATGATTGCCTCAATCCGACCAAACAGCCCTGAGTGACGAAGCAGAGCAATCAAGTCATTTGTCACAGCAGGATTAGCAGATCACGTCGAGGCTCTGAGGTCGCACTGATAAAAATGTCTGGTGTTTCTGAAGAGGCCCGTCTAAATTTAGAGCAGCCACATGTTGGTGCATCTGTAATCTGAAGAGGTGAATCATACACTCGATGTGGATGCTCCACAGACGCCCCGGGGCCGTTTCTGATGAGATCCACTCTGAACTATAACTGCAACCGGGACGAGGCTGTTTCTTACTGTGGGAAAGAAGAAATATCGAGTTTGATGATGGTCAATGAGCCAATGTGAGCTGATGTGGTTTGTACTGTAATGTTAACTGCAGTGGTGGAAGAAGTGCTGAGACATTTTACTTTAAAAAGCAATACCACAATTTAAAATAATGTGTTCAAAATCTTTCTGATTTAATATTATCCAAAGAACATGTTAGTAAAAGCAGTGGTGGAAGAGAGAAAAAGATATTTCACTGAAGTACAGATAATAATACCACACAAATCCTGCATTTAAAGCAGTAAACGTATCTAAATATAAATAAAATGGACTTTAAATGGACTTGATTCAGAATTAGAATGAGCACCAGTACTTTTATACTATTTTTGAGTTTGTGTTTTCTGAACAAATTTATGAAAGAGATTTAAGAGAGAGATAGAAGAGAACCTCACCTCAACTATATAATCGAACCGCTACTTAAAATAGGAAATGGTGGCAGACTTCCCGCCCTCTCAGAAACGGCCGTTTCAGCTGTAACCACACAAACCATTTAAACCTGCTGACACTAATGTGGCTTCAGGGAGCTGCAGTCGGAGCTGCAGGATATTAAAGGATATTAAAAACCCTTATCGCCCGATTGCTGCAGTTTGCGTCAAAGTTGGTTCTCCTGCTCCGAGTCATAACTCAGTCAAATGTGAGCACACGGACATGGTGCACATATTTATTGAGACTATTATTGTGGAGTATTCCTGATATCCTGTGAATAATCATCCATACAGGTATTTTGAAATCATAGAAACAAAGATGCTCCTTGTACTTGAGGATTTCTTCAGTCTCAAAGTAATGAAGCGACATTTGTTTTTACATTCATAAGTAAATTGAAAAGTACTAAAGGCTAATTTCTTTACTTTATCTTTCTTTTTGGTCCCATTTATCCAAAAGTTACATAAAATCTGTCTCTTTGGATTTAGAAATGATTTTATGCATTCATGTTTCATCATAAGTTTTATTGACTTTTATTTCTTCTATTTATTGTAATTAAAACCAAATACTGTTGTTTCTAGTCTATTTTATCTATAAAGTTTGACTGATTGAAATAGATACTGCACGATGCTGCCATTTTTGAAAAAGCTTCAACTGATTTAGACGTTTACTGTGTCTGAGGTCACACGTCTTAATGTGATTATTGCTTATTATATATATACTTTAGTGTCTTATTCAGACATTTGTTTTAAAGCATTTGTTTCCATGTTTCAGTGAATATTTCACGTTGTCAGAATTTGAAAAATCCTGGTTTGGATGATAAAGAACACAGTCATCCGCTCTCTGAGGGACTATTTCTTTGGAGGGAGTAAAAAGTTTTGACATGATGTTTGTGTTTTGAGGATTTGAACTGATGTCTAACATGAAAATCTCTTTATCTCTACATTCTTCTGACAAAATGATTTGAAATAAATGTCAGTTTACTCCTTGTTCTTTGTTTCCCTCTTGAAGTCCTGACATGTACTTCATGTGGTTTGTATATGTGTGTGTGTGTGTGTGTGTGTGTGTGTGTGTGTGTGTTGGTGAATCACAATAACCTCACTAATTGCTCAAAGCCTCACTGCCTCACAGCTCCTCTCTGTAGACTTCACATCAACCACGTGTAGGAGACTTGAGAGCGCTGCAGCCAAAGATATGTTACAGCACACTACACTTCCATTATGGAGACACACAGCGGGTGTAGCCGTCAGAGGCCGAGATGGGTCCGTCCAGAACGCCTCGCTATCGTAAGTGACCTGTCAGGATGCATGATGAGGAGGAGTCCTAATTTGGAAAAAACTCACATGCTATTCAATTTTTTAGTGGAAAATGCAAGAAATCGTCATTAAATATTCAGTGGACAAGGCTAAAAAGGAGGAAATGAAATTCAATATTTACCAAGTTGTTCTACGAGCGGGAGAACTAATGAAGGCTGAGAAACAAGAGTCGTGTAGCTGGTTGAAATTCTGGGCCCGACGACATCTGGGGCTCTGAAACGCTAAATAACCCCGAGCATCTTCCAGGGGCCTCATCCAGCTCCGAGGAGTTGGTGGAGGAGGGGCGGAAGAATTCATCCCCATTATCACAGCTCTGATGTGGAAACTGAAGAATGAAGAAATCCTTCTTGGGACTTTGAATTGACTTCTATGCTCACATTCAGTTGTGTGTAGGCTACGTGCGTATTCCTACGGCGTAGCTTTGAGGCAGGACCATGAATCGGCTTTAACTCCTCAACCTCACCACGATTTACATCTGACTGTGACCTGGACCTCACAAATGAAGCTTTGCCTCATTACAAGCGAGCTTCACGTCCCTGTGAAGTCTACTGTCCTGACAAGGGCGGAGGATATGCAGGAAAAGATCCTAGAGGCAGGTTATCCTTTAGTTTGTTTATTAGCAGGATTACACACAAAAAAACTCAAGGACGAATTTACACGAAACCTGCAGGAAAGATGTGGTTTGAGTTGAAAAGGACACGTTACATTTGGTGCAGATCTGGATCAGGGGACAGATATAAGACGTTTTTCACTTTCTTTAACATTGGATGTTTTTTTTAAGAAATAATGCAGAGATATATATTTTTAAATCAGGAATGAGTATGAACAAGTGAAATGTGGTGTTGATCTGAGCAATGATCCTGATTTTGTCAATCAATCACTATTTTGGTAATGGGAGTGGATTCAGTATTTGTGTCAGAGACTGGATGTTTTCCCAGTGTTTAATGTCTGCAGGCGGTGAAGTGGCCTTTCCAAGTGCCTCAAAATACATGAAGATATGAGTTATCTTATGTGTACTTGTGTACTTGTGTATTTGTATCAGTCCTTTGTCCCAGATAGTGAACAAAGCCTCTGAATCTGTGGACAGTGAAGCCGTAACCTTCACTCTGCCGCTGACTCCCTGAAATGTCACTTACCGAGAGCTACACAATCAAACAACAAAAAATGGTCTTCTTCTGCACGCAGGAGGGAGAGAGGGAGGGAGAGAGAGAGGGAGGGAAGTGAGCGGGGAAATGACCCCTGTGTTTATTTTATTTAGGCTCGCTCTCTCTTTCCCTCTCATTGCTATAAATAGACAGACGCTTGGCAGCTGAGGGGTAGTCCACGCAGAACAAATGCACCCCCTGGCCGTTTCACTTCAACCCCCACATAATGAGCCAGACAGAATGTACACAGATCGCTGCCGTCACTTCCACTCTCCCCAGGACTGAGGCAGGGGCCACACGTTGCCATGGAGATGCCGGCTGTTGGGCAGTGGGCGCCCTGGGTTGTGCGAGCCGAGGTCCCTCACGATGAGCTGAACGCTTCAGGCCTCCATCTCCTGTCCCCTCGCCAACCCTTAGTTTGCCTCTCCTCCCCACATCCCTCCCTCCTGACTCCCTTGCATTCAGCACCATGAGGCGGGGGGGGGAGTAGATGAGTCCGGTGTCCTCCCCTCGTCTTCTGTGCTCTGTGTCTCTGATGTAACGGAGTCCGTGTGGGTTTTCCTCTCTCACCCATCTTCCTGCTGCAAATATATTCCAGACCAGTGAACCACTGAATGCTCAGCTCCAATAGCTGCAGCTGCACAAGTGGCGCTCTCCATGGACGAGCTATACTGTGTGTGTGTGTGTGTGTGTGTGTGTGTGTGTGTGTGTGTGTGTGTGTGTGTGTGTGTGTGTGTGTGTGTACAGTGTGAGAGCTTAGTGCCGAGGCTGCCGTCCACCTGCATCACGCTCTGGATATTTCTGGATTGTCAGGGTTTTATTTGAGGAGAGGATTTATCGGTGCAGGAGAGTCAAGGTTGTGCAGCGTTAGATGAAGAGTCACCAGCTCTTCTTCTTCATATGATTATGTACAAACCCACCAATGAAGGGGGTGAGGTGACAGGACGTCTCTGAAGAGGAACACTGAGCCTTTAAAAAGGAGCAATGTCTGCTTTGTGAGAGCTCTAACTAGTTTACAGACTCAGGGGCTCTGACATCTAAAGGAAAAATAATCAGAGTTTAGTTTGACAAAAGTTTATTTCCCTTTTATAATTTTCTTGGTTTAGGTTGGTTGGTGAGTTTGGTTTAGGTCGGTTTGGTTTGGTTGGTTGCTGCATTGTGTTTTGTTCTAGTTGGTTAAAAACTAATTTATTTTGTAGACTGACATTTGTGCGCAGCGCCGGGATTTGTTTTTAGCACTTCGACATTGTGAGAAGGTTGTTTGGTATTTTCACTAATTTCCCAGGGAATATTAAAAATATGTAAGAGACTGATATCTATGAGAGTGTGCAATTTGGTGCGGATATATAATAAATATCCTCATCTAGGGTACGTTGGTTGGTTTTTCTGCCGTTGTGCGATAACACATCAACTGAGAGTCTTTTTAGTTCATTTAAGTTTTGAAATATCTTTGTCTGACGTCTGCTGCTTTATTCTAAAAGCATTAAGAATTTAAATGCAGTGTGTTTTTCCAGGGACATCCAAACTGAAACTAGCTTACACCAAAGAAATGTCCCCCCTGAAATCTGT